GCTGGTGAGAAATACAAAGGAACTCAGCAGTAAGTAGCAATGGTGGTGTCCACACTTTCAGACCTAAGCATGTTTGTGGTCGTGTTCCCAGGCCACTTGTGGGGAATGGGCTGTTCCCCCTTCTGTGTGATGCCAGTTGAAGTGGGGAACCAGATATCAAGCTTACAAAGTCAACAGTGAGTGTCCTTGAGAAAACCTAGAAGGAAAAGCATTTCCAAGAGAGGCTCATACTGTTTTATGCAGGATACAAAACTGGTTCTGGGGTATTTGGGTGGGGGGGGTGGGGGGCACAGAGTCAAAGGGGACACTGCTCTGCACTGGGCTTCATTGGGCACTTTAGTGTCCTGCCTCAGCCTTCCAGTGAATAAGCTGGTTGGTTGTGAACCCTTAGTTTGATGATGTTATCTTCCTATTATTATTTGTTCTTTTTCTTACAAGCTTTACCTGCACGAGCATTGTGCTGTGCCTAGGGCACTCTATTAGGAACTCCAGCTAGTTTAGAAGGCTTTCCCCAGCCAGTTACTGTTGGACATTTTGAGCGCCTAATTTGATATGTTCATTTCTGTCCCCTTCTCTCTTTTTACTTTTGCTTGATAAATATATAATTACCTCACTCTTTCAAATCTAAAGTATGGCCATCATGTGTCATTCTTTGGACCATATGGGACAATGAGTAACGGAGAAGAGGAAGTCTGAGTATAGGGATTTAGTTGGTACTTCCCCGCTCCCCTACAATTGCTGACCTCACTCACGCTGCATCACAGCTGCTTAAGCTGGGTGCCCATTGCGTAACACAGGCCACTGACAGTCCATGTGAACAGCAGGGATATGGAGGAGCTCCTGCCATCCCAGTTATCCAAAGATGCCAAGACCCAGGGCATTGCTATCCAGAGAACAGAGATGATCTTTAAAATATTATATCGCTACCGCTGAACTCAAGTTATTGTTTCCATTTTCACCATGCTGCAGTATCTGTTACTAGCAGCAGAGTCCAGGCATGTGTCTAGTCCCACCCTTCTGCCTGTCCTGAAGGCTTTCTTACTGTTCCTCTGCTCCTTGGAAGGAGAGAGATTTAATACAAGCATTTCCATAAATGCTTCCATAAGCATGGCTCTCTTTAACATACCAGTAATTTCTTGCAGTTAACTCAGTACGTGCTACTGTAAGAAGCTAAAGAGATTTACACATTTTGACACTACTGGGATGTATGGAATGTCACTATGCCATTCTCAAATGTTTTCTTAATCTTTATAGAAATTACAGGCTTGGGAATTCCTTTGACACTTTTTCTTTACTGAGCTACTATGTCTCTCCCAAGCCCCAAATTTAAATGAATAAATAAATAAACAAGTCTGTTGCATTCTGATAGAGACACCTTTTGTGTTAGATGTGCTGAGGGATGGTTTGATATTCTTTAAGTCAGCACCGTACCGGAGGGCATTTCAAGGGCACTTTAGTAAGAGTGATTTTAAATTAATGTATTACACTAGTGGGATGAATTCTACAACTTCTCTTGGGGGCATAACAGCAGTGTCTTCATACACTCTGGCAAATATCTGTTCTATACAAGTGCTGAGGCTGAAATATGTTCTGTTACATGACAGGGTGCTAAAGTCACTTTATCACTATATGCTTGAGAATCACGATGTCCTCAAGATGGTACCTGGTATCTAGTAAGCTGTGCCACCTTACCTGACTACTGCAAGAAATGCATAACCTCCTTCAGAAGAGAGTCAACACACAGAAACACAGAGATATAGTAGGCTGTATAAATCAGCATGGAGGAAGAGACCCCAGTGTAACTTTAAGAGGACTTCTGGCAAGAAGGTTACATTCTCTCTTTACAAAGGCTCGCTTATAAGTGTTCATCAAGGAACTCAGTGGATACAGGGCCCACACTGTGGTCTCTGTAATATGCAAACTCACTGCCCAGAACATTGTGGGAACCAAATATAATCCTGACCCTTTTGGCCTCCAAGTCTGACTGTATTTTTTTCTCCCTTTCCATCCCTTATCTTTCTTCTTCCATTCTCTCTTTCTTTTTTACGTTCTACAATGTAAGGAAATTAAAACCACTGATTTCAAGTATAGGGGAGGAAAAAAAACCCCAGTAGGTTAAAGATCAAATGTTCTGAAATCTTCAATGTACTGAAATATCAGTGTTTAAAAGATGCAAAAGCAACATTTCCATTAGTACCTAAATAAATAAAAACAAACTAAAGCCAACAGAGACACTGAATTACTTGGCAATTTTTGAGCTTATAGAAATTTCCAACTCTTTACAATCACTAAATAATTAGAGAAGATGACATTCTCCTTTACCATGATTGGAAGTGTGACGAAGAAGTCAAGAGTTTTTCTTCAAATAGACTAAAGGCTGTCAAGGATGAACTAAAATTAAAAAAAAAATAAGTAGGAGCACATTTCTGATGGTAGAAACCACATCCAAACAAATTCAATCATATGAATGAAGTCTTCTCCACACAGGTGTGTTGGATTTGGCAGTGTTATGCTCAGAGAGCATCTGAGATGGGGGTCCACTCTCCATCAGCAGATTCCCATACTACAGTTAGAAGATGCCATGGTGCCTCATCAGTCTCTTTCCCTTTCCCCAGCACAGACAGATGGCTAAATATCAACCTCAGACCACTCTCTCCAAAAATCACAGTGAAAAGCACATGGCTAGATTTTCACTTTTAATCTGCAAATTGAATATGATGTGAAAATATGTGACACTGTTGTTAAAAAACAAATATTTCACTTTGTAAAAAATTGATATGCAATCCACTGACACCTAAGATCAGCAATAATGTAATTAGTTATTTTGGGTAATTATGGTCTTCAAATAAGAGGCGAAAAAAAGTTTGACAACTTCTAGTGGGTAGTTAATAAAAGCCTCCGATAGCCTAAATAGGTGTGAAGTTACGCTAAACTCTAGCAAGGTAAAAGGCCGATCCTTCCCTATTACCAGTTTCAAATGCTCGAGTAGGATTTATGATGTCCAGGGGTCAAAACATGTCTTGCTTGTAGGAATATTTACTTTTGTCTTATCTGATTCCCCACTGGCAGAACAGCACCCTCAGACTATTCTGATGTTATCTCTTTCTCTTTCTCTAACATCATTTAGCTGTCTAGTAGGCTGCCATATATAAGGTGCGGAGTTATATGTTGAAAGACACCAGAAATCAACCTCACATATCATGGTCAGGCAGGTGAGCATGCATTAAAATACATATGCACACTATAGAGACACATATATTAAGCCTCAAATAAAAAGCTAGGTTTTGTGTTTGTTTTTAAATATGACTTAGACTACACAGCAAAGTTGCATGGCCACAGCCTTTTTAACCATCACAGCACAATCCTCATGTATCGAGGAAGGGTCACCATGCTTGGTCTCTCTTGCTAAACCTGGAACTTGCAATTATGCTAGTCAATCTGGCCTGCCTCTCTTGGTCTCTGCTTCCCTGGTGTTAGGACTGCAGGTAGGCCACCAAGAACACCTAGCTTTTAAGTGGGGCTTGAAGGGCTAAAATGTGGGCTCACACTTTACCCACAGAGCCATCTCCCCAGCCCTTGAAGAGCTTCCCTTTTTATTAGAGGGATTTAGACATATTCTAAAAGCCACGTAACATTTCATTGTGGAAACCTTCCACTGGAAAATGATCAAGGTTAGCCTACTTTGATATAAGTGTCATAGGTAAGGCTTTGGATTCCTCCAGCATATCACAGGTACCACTTGGAAAGTACCTGATACCTCTAAGGAATCTGATAGTTGTTTGGGGCACAATGACACAAGAACAATTTTCATTTAAGAGCTAGTGCTAGTACATATAAGTTAGGACATTTTGTTTTGTTTTGTTTTGTTTTTTTTGGTTATTTTGGTTGTTCTAATGTTGAGTATGAGAGTGACCTCTTATGAAACTGACAATCTGATCAAAATTTGGAAATGACTGAAGAAATGCAGTCTAATCTTCTACTCAATCCATCACTTCAAACTACCGTTCAGTTTCAGGCTAAAAACAAAGACCCTAGAATCCTAGTATCTTCACAACTCCTACAGAATGGAAAGGAGGGATTGGTTCCAACCCAGGAACTGAAAGCTGGTTCAGTTTCTTCATTTCACCTTTTTAATAGTAATTCTCACTAGTTCTTCTTTTCATGCTGTGTTGTCCCAGAACTAGGGAAAATGCCAGGTTATGATGAGTAGGGAGTATAGTATTTTAACTTAAAAGTAGTCGGAAGTAATAACTGGGTACACTGAATTAAAAGGAATCCATATACAGTGAGAACCTCCACTCGCAAAGGATTTTCAAACATTCTTAATAGAGTTCAAGACAGAAGGGTGAGATTCTTTCCAAAGAATATGCACTTTGCAAAACAAGGGCAAATAAACAAACCCTAAGATACAAGCTTCTTCCCAAAAAAGGCACTTATCTGTCTTAGATGCACTTGACCACATCTGTATCTGGAGGACTCGGCTACTTAACACTAGCAGCTACTATGGTACCAACAGGCTTTGCCTATCAGTAGCTCATTGACTACCCTTGACATCTTTCACCTACAGATCTGGGAATATCCTGTACCTGATAAAACATGAGATACTGCAGATGTGTCCAGGTTCTATGCAGGTGAAAGATACATGAAGACATTTCTGCACTGTATAGAAAGGGATACTGTGATGGACAGAATGGAACAGCTGGAAGACAAATTATTTTCTGTTTCCTCTCCTACATCAGATTTTCATGCTCTACTGTGTCCATTCAGTTTTGCGAAAGATAATCCCTCATCACTGAGCAGCTGGTTGCACTGGATCATAAACAGTAGCTATATGGATACTGTGCAAACGGGACCCGTGCTCACCTTTTCTGCTCCATTAGCTTTGTCTGTCAACTGCTAATGGAAGAACAGTGCGTATAGGTCTATCTTTAGGGCTGCTCTCTAGGGACAGCAGATAGTTCCATTTTTTTTTCCTGTTGCTGTGTTAGGATATTCCTTACCTTTGGCTGAGGTGCTGGGGTGGCAGAGGCTGTGACAGGGTCTGTGATATAGGTCTTCTTGGGACCACTGCTTGGATACACGCCAGGAGGATTCTGGCTCCCGGCTCCAGGAGGAACATACCCAGGTTCCCGCTTCCAGGTGTTAGGGTGAACCTGTTGCCCGTAAGCAGGATCAGAATCATTTCTGCCCCTGTAGCCAGGCCCTGCTGCATAATAGGGTTCATAATAGGGTCCTTGGTTGGAGGTGTACCCATATGCAGGCTCAGGCTGATGTCCTGGGGGTGGGATATATGCATAGTCAGTGCCGGCACGAGTCGAAGGAGGAGGACACTGTCCTGACACAGGAGCCGGTTGGGTGTTATAGCCATGTGGCCCCGAACCATACATTTGCCCGATGGATGGAGCAGCCATGTAATGTGAGCTGGGCTGGGCTGACTTCACTTGCACGTTGAAGGTGGGCCTTGAAGGTGTCGAGGCTGTTGTGTAGGAGGCTGGAACTGGCTGAGGCTGGGGTTTGAGTGTTCCGATGGGAGCCACTGGGATGGGCGCAGCATGGGGAGCAGGGTGTGGCTTCATTGCAGACTTTTTGGTTGCTGTCAGGGGTGGCTGGTTCGGAATGACCATTCTCTTGTGTCCTGTGACAGGGGTAGAGACTGGAAGAGTAGCCATCGGGTTACCAGGGCCCTAAAACAAACAGGAAAATGACAAAAATGATCAGCAATAAAAGAAAAAAATTAAAAATACATAAATGAGTAAAAAGGGATTATGGCTAATTGTTGCTTGTGTGTTGAGGTATAAAATACAAATAATGCATGGTCCTTCCCTTAAGGAGCTCACTAACTCAAAAGTCAGTTTTTCTGTACAGTACCAGTGAAGAACTAAAAGAAAGAAATGAGGGAAAAAATTCATTTACAACAGCATCAAAAAGAATATGACACCAGGAATACACCAAGGCATGAACTATGTTGCCACTGAAAATGAAAACAGCGATGAAAAGAATTACATGAATACAAAGACTCTACCCATCAATGTCTCAAAGCAGATAATGAGACTCATAAACAAACTTTGGGCAGAGTTCAGGAAACCTTAGGAAAGAAGGAGGAGATAGTAAGACCTGGAGAGGATAGGAGCTCCACAAGGAGACCAACAAAACCAAAATATCTGGGTACAAGCAACTTTTCTGAGGTTGATAATCCAACCAAGGACCATGCACTGAGATAACCTAGAACCTCTGCTCAGATGTAGCCCATGGCAGCTCAGTCTCCAAGTGGGTTCCCTAGTAAAAGACATGAACTCAGTGGCTGGCTCTTTGACCGCCTCTCCTGGATATGGGAGCAGCTTTGCCAGACCACAGAGGACAAAGCAGCCAGTTTGGATGAGACCAAATAAGCTAGGGTTAAGATGAAAGGGGAGGAGGACCTCCCCCATCAAGTGGTCTTGGAGAGGGGCATAGGAGGAGATGAGGGAAGGAGGTTGGGAATGGGAGGGGAGAGGAGAAGAGGCTAAAGCTGGGATACAAAGTGAATAAACTGTAATTAATATAAAGAAATAAAAATTAAAAAAAAGAAATAAAAAAACTAGCTTGTGTTCATGGACTAGAAGAGCCTGTAATAGCTCAAACAGCCTTTATATCTAGAGAAATACCTATCAAAGAAATATAACAGTAATTAATTTCAAACTCAGACGGAAACAGAAAAGACCACAGTCAAATCAGTCCTGAAAAGGAAGAACATAACTAGACTACATTGATGACTTCAGAATATGTTGCAAATTCTGATGCAATGTAGCAACAATATAAAGACAGACATGAGATAGAAGAAACAGAAAAGTGGTATAGAAATATACAAACACACATAAAGTTCACTCATTTTCTACATGAGTGCCAAGAACAAACACTGGAGTAGGGTACAGTTTCTTTCATGAATTGTGTTGAAATACTGGATTTCAACAAGCAAGAAAGCAAATCAGAGACTGGTCAGACACTGTGAACTAAAAATGTCCCCAAAGATGTACATGCTCTAGGAAAGAAAACAGATTTATAGTTTATGAGAACAGTCCTGGCAATGATTTAATATATATGGAACCAGAAGTACAGACAACAAAAACAAAATGAACCAGAGAAGTAACATCATATTGGAAAGTTCTATACAGCAAAAACAACAGAGTGAAAGAGAAGGCATGAATGTGAGCAGATGGTCACATAACCAGCAATGGGTTGGCAATGGTCAAAGTATCTAAGAAAGCCTTACAATGCAGAAGTAAACAGAGACAGAGAAGGGCTAAAGAGATGACTCTGTGGGGAAAAGCACTTGTTGCTCTTTCAGAGGACTTGGGTTCAGTTCCTAGTATCATCATGCCTGTTATCATGCACTCATAACTCCAGTTCCCAGGGATCTGACACCCCCTCCTGGCATCCATAGACATCAGGAACCCACAAGGTGTACATGTAGACACGTAGACATGCAGACTAATGCTCATAAAATCAACACAAAAAGGAACCTTTAAAATGTAAGATTAGGGTTTGAAAATAAAAATACTCATGCTTTTCTAAGAAGTATACAAAAGACAAACATTTAAAAATCGCTCAAAATTACTAAAAATCAAGAAATGCAAACAAATCCAGGAGTCACCTCTTAGTGAGGATCACTGATATTAGACAAAGCAAACTGGAAGTCTAGTTCTGGCAAGAACAGTAGGGTCCCTGCACACTGTTGTTAGGAAGTCAAAGTGGCAGCTGATGGGGAACACAATAGGAAACTTCTTAAAGACAATGGAATAAATGTATGCCCTAGCAATTTCCCTTATTGGTCTACATCCGGCAATTATTGAAGTGTGGACCTCAAAGAGATATTAACATTTCCTTGTTCATCCCAGCACTATTTACAAGAAAAAAAAAACCAAGTTAGATGTCCATCAGATGGATAAAGAAAATATGTATACAACGCAATATTATTCCTCAAAAAGAAGGAGACTCTATATCATAAAGCCACATGGATTAATCTTGGAGACATTAGAGTATGAAAAATAAGCCAGTTACAGTAAGACAAAAATGGCATGATTTTACCACATGAAATGTTGAAAATAGTTAAGAGTCAGAAAACCAAGAATTGGGATGACAGAGGCAAAGAGTTGATAGGTTACTTTTGCTGTGATGAAGCACCATGACCAAAGTAAGTAGGGGAAGAAAGGGATTATTTGTCTTCCACTTCCATATCACTGTTCATCACTGCAGGAAGTCAGGACAGGATCTCACACAAGGCAGGACATTAGAGGCAGGAGCTGATGCAGAGGACATGATGGGGTGCTGCTTACTGGCTTGTGCCACACATCTTGCTCAGGCTGCTTTCTTCCAGAACACAAGACTACCATCTCAGGGATGGCACCCCCAACAATGGGCTGTCCCCTCCACCATCAATCATTAAATTAAGAAAATGTCCTACAGGTCTGCCTACAGCACAATCTTATGGAGACATTTTCCTCAGTCGAGATTCCCTCCTCTCATATGATTCTAGCTTGTATCAAGCTAAAAGAAAACTAGTCAGCACCTCCTGGGAATATTAAATGGGGAGTTCCCAATCAATTGATTTGTTCTCAGGCAATCAGGATAAGGTGTTAAGGCTCACTGTTTAACATTTCATGTACTGTCATCAATAAAATATTATACAGCGAAAGTTTCTATTCTAGAAAGGAGAACATGAGAGCATCCTGACACAATCAAAAAGAAAGGTAGGGTTCTGATAGTAATAGATGGCATGGAAGAGATGAACCCCATGTCTCTATGTCACATATGCACAGTGATTCTCACTTATAGCCCAGGGTGAACGGTTCTACCTCATTCCCATGTTAGCATAAGAGAGCTTAATTAATACACACTGAAGATGCTCGGGAAACGAATAGCAGAAAACTAGCACATAAAAAAGGTTCAGCTCCCAGAAAAATCACACATACATGTATGTGTAGATGAGTATGATATTTAAATGTGCTCGGTTTTCAAAATGAAAATGTTAAATTATGACAAAAATTCAAGAATTCATACAAAATCAAAAATAAAATGAAATGTCAAAAATATATTCTTGGAAGCACCAAATAATCCAATAAACAGAAAATATTCAGCAACATGACTCTTCAATTAACTGAATATGTGGACCAGATAAGCATTGGCACAGTCTTCTTTGACTATGAAGAACATAAATTCATGCACTTTAAAATAATGATTCCTGCTCTTTTTCCTTTCACATCCAATCAGATAAAATATGTAAAACTTTGGAGGAAAACTGTATACACCAAAATATACTAGTTTTAACAACACTTATGATAAAAATATCCAAACACGTGCAAGCATCCACGCAACAGAACACAGCAGAGATAAGGGAACGCAGGGAGAGCTCTCGGGAATGATTTTCTTTTCTGCTACTTAGCAAAGTAATGGTTCCATAATGCTCCTTTTCGGGCTGTGCTCCATCCCCACTGCTCTCCTCAATCCCTGTTCTTTTCCACTTTGATGTCAAGCAGGTTCTATTACCCTCTTAACTCCTTTCCTTAAACCCTCTCATTCCTCTCTTCCTGTCACCTTTCTAGCTACATGACTTGTACTCACATTCACACCTACACAGATGCAAGGAGAGGTTCTCCATATGAGAGATCTTGTGGTATTTCTGATATGCATGGAATGGCTCTGGAGAGGGGGGCCCTGAAACTGTCACTCAGGAACTTTGGCTGGCATGTTCTCTCTCTCCTTTCTTTTCCCTCCCCCCCGTGTGTGTGTGTGTGTGTGTGTGTGTGTGTGTGTGTGTGTGTGTGTGTGT